TTAGAAATTAAGAAAATGATCTATGAAATTAAGATAATCTGCAAAATTAAGAAATTAAAGAAATTAAGAAATTAAAAGATTTTATGTTATTGTGGTAATAATAGTAACTATTATAATGTAATATTAAATAAAATAATACTTAGTTACAACTAGTTATAACTTATAGAATTTTGAAGTTGCAATATATTGCAATAAATAATAAATAAGTATTATATACTTGCTATATTATCTCTAATTCAGACTTTAAATTTGATTTTTTTTATTTTATTCTCATTATTAAATTATTTTTTTTAGTATATAATAAATAGTATATTCTAAAATTTTGATATTTTTAGTTTTATAAAGATAATTTTGAATAGTAATAGTAGTAGAATAGTCATAAGATATAATAAGATGGATTATTATTCTTTTTAACTAGTTATTTAATAATTATAAATAACCAAACTTACTTATATCATTTAAAATATACTATTTATACTATTTTTTATTAATATATAAGATAATAAAAGGATTAATTTTACAAGTTTTTGTTATTTTTCTTATAGTATATTTATTTTAAAGTAAAAATAATTATTTTAACTTTTTCTTCAAGAGTTAATAACATTTTATATTTGATTTTTATTATTAAAAAGTTGTAATAAATTTAAAAAAAAGATAAATAAAATAATTATTTATTTTATAACTTCTGTATAATATTTACTTATTATTTGATCTTTCAAATAAAAGATCAAAAGAAATATAATACTTATTTGTATAAGTTTATATATTTATCTCAAAATTATGTTTAATAATAATAAATTAAATTTTAATAAATAAAACTGATACTATTAATATATTATATTCATTAATTTTATTTAAATTTTATTAACTACTTATAAATATATCATGATTTAATAATTTTTAACTTTGTGTTATATTACTTTTGATCATTACTATATAAAGTAATATTTTATATATATTATTTATATATTTATAAAATATAAATATATAAAAAATCTATATAAAATATATACTTTATATATATTTACATATATTTATATATTAATTCTTATAAAAAATATAATTATTTTTATTTATTTTTTATTTAAAACTCTTTTTTTACTTAGATATTACTATTTATTATAATTGAGATATCTTTATTAATATCAATCTCAAATAATTTTTTAATATGAGAATTATAATATTCAAATATACTTTTTATTTTTCTTTTAAATTCAAATTAAATTAACTTAGCAAATCATTTTAATTTGAATAAATATAATATATAATATAAATAATAAAGAATTTATTTTATTAAAGCTTACTTTAATATAATTTTTTGAAGCTGGATCAAGTTCTAAAACAGATCTAGAATACAAGTTGCTATATATTCAAGAAAATAATTTTTTTCTATTTAATTATAAAAATTAATTCATTTTTTTAAGTAAAAACTGTTTAATTATTATCAAGAAATATCACAATTGCCAATATTAATATATTATTCTTATTAGAAAGTAGAAAATCATTATATTTAAAAATATGTTAATAGCTTGATTTCTTTAAAATTCTTCTTGTTTTTTTGACTTTAATCTAGACATTATTTTACTTGGAATAGCTATATCAGCACCACCAGTTAAAGTAATGTTAACATCTCGGAAATATTATTGATAGTTAATACTCTAGCCATGGGTTATGTTGCTAGCTATTAGTACATGTAAAAGCTATTTTCAAAAATAAACATTTGTTTCGTTACACATTGATCTTTTCAATTTCAAACCTTTTTTGTTAACATTTTTCTTGCAATTCACTCAATCTTTTTTTATAGAAATAATGAAATTAAAGAATAATATCAAATTCAATTTTTACCTTCATTTTTTGATATACAAAGTAACACTTTCAGAACCTAAATATTAAATTATAAAAATAAATATACGTATCTGGATCAGTTAAGATTGATATTTAATTTTGAGTTAAAGATTCGACAGATGTAAATTGCATTAGTAGATTTGTTGTTTTTTGTTGTGTTCGCAGAAATGCTTTTTTGTGTCTTCGTCTTTTCATTAAATTCTTTCAATATTTGCTTCTCTTCTCTAACCCACTGTTTATTTTTTCACTTTTTTTGAATTGCAGTATTATGATTATCGAACCGTGGGAACATGGCGCTGTACCATCGATTGCAATATTACGATTAATTTAAACATCATCATTGTGCAAACCTTTCGGCGAACACGTTTTATAAGTCCAATAGCACAGTTTTTAAAAAATGGAGTTGGTAACACACCAAACACTATCCATCCCACGTAACGATAGGACAAATATAAACAGCATGTGCATTCATTCACAGAACATCCCCAGATAACGGGTTGGCTAAACAGTATAAATGTGAAAATTCTCTATTTAAAGAGCTAATGTTGATAAGAAAGTTGTTATTCGCAGTAGAGATTTTGATTATTTTCTACTTTCACTCGAAAAAAAGTTTGCATGCACAATTATTTTAAACTACAAATTTTCGCACTCAGACCAAAATCAAACCAACTATAGATTCTAATGCAACAAAAAAAACGAGTACATGTACATGTACAAATGCAACAGTGCAAATTGCACAAGCACAAAATTCCATGTGTAGTTTCATCATTGACTTTGTTCACGCGTGTGTAGAATAACTTAACTGTATATACATGTTACATGTACAAAGAAAAACGGAATGTGTGCGCTCCACATTCTTTCACACACATGATGTTTCATCATTAATAGTAAGAGATTCATTTTATTGTTTTGATATATCGATATCGATATTATTTACCGGATCTCTGTCTTATCCTGCAAACAAGTTTAAAACTGGTTTACTGACAATACCATAATTGGGTGATTGGCATTACACTATAACTAAAAGCATTAAAGAAAAATTCAATAGTATTGTTGATCACAATTACAAATTGTATCCATTCATGATTCGATTTTGTTCATTATTGGTTTACCAGTATTATTAATAATTAATGTCAAGACTAACCACACTCATTTTAGCCCGTTTAGTATGAGGTGCGGCTTTTCGAAAATTAGTTTTAGTTAAATTACTGATATAAAAATTTGTCTCCCATTTTTTTCTTGTTTGTTAATAACAACAACAACGAGGGTTAGAAGCAACTTAATCAATATGACATTGTCATATATGAGATGCATCGAAATAAAGTAACGATTGGTACTTAAAATTTCCGAATGTATTTCGATTGGTGATATTGACCTACATGTACATGTAGGTGAAGTTCATCCCGTGTTTTCTTATCGTTATTATTTGCTTGGCTTATACAAAATCGGCGGTTTTTTTGTGTTTCTTTTCGGGCCGTCAATCGTCACACAGCCAGCGGTTTTTTATATAACTAACTACGACCTATTTCTTTCCAAACTATTTTTGCAATTTTTCTTTATTAGCGCAGCAAATAAACAAAAGTCAAAATTCCTGGACAATCACCACTAATAGATTATAATAAAAAAAGGCTTGCCGTATTTTCCTATCAATAAACAATCAGACTAACTATCGCTATTACTATCTTCCATCCATCTCCAAACAATAAAAATGGTGGATGACGTTAGCACCGGCCTAGTAACAAAAACATTATCACCCTCACACCCAATACCAAAATGGAAAACAATATGCCGACGAATAAAGCGAGCAGCAGACGGCGACGGCAAGTGCCCAGAATGTGAGAAACCACGCGTCTCCTACTGGTGTCAACAATGTGAGTCAAAACGCTTACGAAGAAAGTTTAATGAGTGGACGAGCGGCAATGAAAATATCGATAAGTTTCTGCAATCGACGCAATTTAATGCTCCAAGACACGTAAAATATATGGAATTTATTCCATATTCTAGTTTCAAGAATATTAAGTATTTGGCGAAAGGTGGA